TCATTTGCACTTTCAATCTGCCTTATTTACATCCCTCTTTTGAAAGAGGGATGTAGTTTAGACATACAGAGAGACCAGAAAGGGGGAAAAGACCCTGCTAGCCCCATTCCTTTGACCACTGTTGTTTGACATTAAAGACCTATATTTTAAAAATAAGTGCTAAACCAGGGTTCTCATAACTAAGGTTTCAAAAAATCATGAGATTTTTTAAATCTAATCACGTGAATTTTGTTTTAACATAATAAATGCAGTGCCTTTTGTTTGCTTTCTGGTTTCTAAGGACTTGGCATGTTTGCCAGCCTTTGACTGTGGCCACAAAGCAAAAGCAAAAAAAAAGCAAGCTGAGATTCTTACCTCATTACATTTGGGGACTTTAAGGCTATGTCTACACTGCACGTTTATTTCAGAATAAGCTATTCCGGAATAGTTATTCTGAAATAGTTTATTTCAAAATAGCACGTCTACACTGCAGGGAAGCCTTAAAATTAGTCCAGGGCAGGCTCCCCTAACGTAGACATGCTATTTCGATTTAGAACCCCTGGAGGCACTGAGGAGGAATAACTCAGAATAGCCCTGCTGAGGGACTATTTCAAAATAGCAGCAGTGGGGCATCTACACGGTGTTATTCTTCGTAGAATGCGGTTTACAGAAGTCGGAATAAGCCTCCCATTATTTCGAAATTAATAACGCTATTGCTGTGTAGCTGCTCACATAGTTATTTCGGAATAATTGTTGTTATTCCAAAATAACTTTGCTGTGTAGATGCACCCTAAGACTAACACAAAAAGAAAAACACACACAAAACATAAATATCCCAGCCTGACAATAAAATCACGAGACCTGGCAAGCCTGCTAAGGTCAGTCTCCTAAAGCTATCATAAAGAACCTACATCAGTGGCTTAGTTTTCAGGGGTGCTCAACATTTGGCAGCTCTCGTGGGTTGTTTTTAACATAACAGGGAGCCATCAGGTGTGAGTTCAGCATTTGTGAAAGTTGGGCCTCTCATTTAGGCCAAAAGGTAGACCTAAACACCTAACGTTAGGCTCCAAGCTTTGAAGATCTGGACTTAGCTTTAATGAAGAATTGTACATTTTGGATGCAGTTCTATGGCCCTTTGCCAACAACAGTCCCACTGGTTTCAAGAGGAGTTTGGCAGAATCAAGCCAAAGATGGATCCTTTCCTTTATGTGGACTGAGCTGTTTATCTAGCCTGCACCTATCCCTGTAGTATCACATATAAGGGCAAGACTAGCTGGTGAGATCTTTAGTTTCTTTGAGTGGCTGTAGCCGGAATATTCTCATTTCACCTGCCTAAAATTCACCCGTGCAGTTTCAGTTTAGTCATCTCCTTTACACCCTGCCCAGCACTGTTATTAATGGACCCAGGCCGGGCTCTGCTAAACAGCTGTTGCACTTTATACAGTGCAGAAATTCCACCACCTCTGAGCAAAGTGATCCTGTTACATTTTCACAGTGAAAGGGAAGGGCCAGATCAGCTGTCCAGGGATCTGACTCAAGTGCCACTTACAGGATCTGGTCTTTAATTTTGAATGTAATAAATCTTTTTTTTCCCCCAATCTCCAAAAGTGGAATCAGAATGGTTTTCGACAGTTTATGTTTTAATGCTACTCTCAAAAAAAAAGAGAATTCTTCTCACTGTACTTGCTGATGATTTATTGTTGCAATGTATTTCCCACACCAGAAGCATGACCTACAGGTAAGTTCAGCCCGGATAACAATCGCAGGGGATGGATTTTGCCTCAGCCCAATTGTTACAAATCAATGACCATGGTGACCCAGAGAATGCCACTAGTAAGAAACTGTTATTGGCAGGTTTCTGGATAGGCCCACATCCTGCAGAGGCTAATATAGGTGTACTTAACGTAACACACACTGATGTCATTGGGATTATTCATGTGAGTACCAGCAAGATTAGGGGTCTAAGATTATAAATAGTCTTTCACTTTTCTCGTGCACTATCCTTCAAGACAAGATTTCCAACTCTGGGTCTCAACTCAGATGATTTAACATTCTTTTGAGGAAGGATCCACTCACTGTTAGCTGTGCTAGAGAAAGTAGACTCCTCCCATTCAGAGAACAAGTTACCAGGACTTCTTTTGAGTCTGGGTGATTTTAAGAAATGGCCAAACATTGTTGACCTGCGTTTGCAAAAGAGATCACAAAGATCTGGAAAAGTAATACTGAAAGAAAATTAATTAAAAATCTGGATCCACAGGATCCACAAAGATTTCTATGAAATATTTTAGTAACTACTACACACCTCCGCATTGACATGCAAGCATGGTCTAGCGGCTAGACCAGTGTTTCTCAATTTTATTTGACCACGGAACCCTTTTAAACTCAAAAGAATTTCGCGGAACCCCTAATAACAGTCTTATACATGGAGCTGAAAAAGTAGACCACAACTAAGTAAGGATAATAATAAACAAATGCTAAACAAGGTCATGAGATCAATAGTCAAGAAATCACACGACTATCCTGAAGTAAAGTATTCGCAAGAGCACTACCTGCGCGCTCCCATACAAGCAACTGGTTTGACAGCTGAAGCGTCGACTTTGTCCGACGCAGTGCTAGTATATTCATATTCAGTCACCTATGTGATCCACACTCCCTGAGAGTGAGTACGGGGATTTACGGTGGTATACAACAAGCGACCACACCACTGATTGACTGCACGCGCATCGTTGAGTAGTGACATCATCGTCCTCACTCTCTGGCTAAGCTGGCATTACACAGGGACACTTATCGTGGCAAACACAAATGAAAATGGTTTTCAATACAATTCATAAATGCGTAAATATTAATTATTATAATTTTTAATCATAAAATGTTACTGCCGTGGAATTTCTCGTGGAGCCCTTATTTTCACTTCCGGAACCTCAGGGTTCCACGGAACACCCTTTGGGAAACACTGGGCCAGACTGTTATACTGGGACGAAAAAGATCTGGGTTTTATTCCTGGTTTTGGCTCTGACTTGCTGTGTAACCTCAGGAAAGTGACTTCTCACTTCTGTTTCTTCTCTGTTCTGCCTGTTTCAAATGTAAATCCTTTAGGGCAATAAGTACTTTTTAGTATGTGTCTCTGCAGTACCTAGCAAAATGGGGACTTAATCTCAGGTGGGTTCTCTAGGCTTTAGGCCGATTCACCCGATTCCCCCGAATCAGGCCCCGCGCCCTAAACCCGGAAGTGTGCTGGCGTGCAAGGCGCGCTGCAGGACGGGGTGTCAGCCCTGGGGGAGCACGGCAGTTTCTGTGTGCCGCAGGAGGGGTGAGTCAAGAGCAGGGATTTACCGTGAGAAGAGGGGTCGGCGCCTGGGTTTGGTGGGAAGGCAGGACTCTGCCCTGTAGCTGGGGATTTAAAAGGGCTGTGACTTTTTTTGTGTGCTGTTATTTTATTTTATTGGGGGGGGGGGGCGTAACAAAAAATCGTGGCTGCCGGGGCCCCGTCAAAATGGTTCGAATTGGGCCCCGCACTTCCTAAAGCCGGCCCTGTCTCTAGGTCAGAGGTTCTCAAAACGTGGTCCACCGACCAGCCATCTTGCAGGTGGGCCGTGGGCTCAGGGCCCATCCCTCCCCTGCAGCGGGGAGTCTGTGCTGGTGCTCCAGCCCTCCCCCCGGTTGGAGGTGGGAACGTCCTGCTGTGGGGGAGTTGAGTCTCATGGGTCACATCCGGCTCACAGGAGAGGAAGTGACTCATCACGCTGCCGCTCACTTCCAACCGGCTGGGAGAACAGCAGCACAGGAAGCCAACTTCCCTGAAAACTTTCCCCTCTGCCCCCAATGTCTGGAATCATGGCCAATGGGAGCAGAAGGAGGCGGTGCCTGGGAGTGGCGGGAGGCAGGCAGCACCTCCCATCCCCCTCAGGCACCTCCTCCCGCCAAGAACTCACACCACTCCCTGCTCCTGTACCCACCCTCTCTCCCAGATCCTTCACCCCCAGGCTGCTCCGGCATCCATTTTGTCCTCATGAGTGGTTGATGGGTGGTCTGCAGAAAGGTCTGTGTTGAATGGGGTGGGCCGAAAGCCAAAAAGTTTTAGAACAGCTGCTCTAGGTGCTATTACAATGCAAAATTTAAAAAACAGTATTCCTAGATATCCTCTATACATACTTAAAAGGGGGACTCAGCAGGGAGTAGAATTTATTTTGGGCTCCCTTAATGGAAGCAATAGGATAAAAAAAAATCAAGAAAAGGAGACTCTGTCTACCTCGGACTCTTGCAGGATTCCCGTCAGTAAAGAATTAAGCACTAGATTTGGACCCTCTCAGAAAGCTGCACAACCATGAGCTCTTTCATCTTGTGGAGTAGACTCCTAACGGAAACAGTGGGATCCCCCCTCACCTCAGACGTTTAAATCTAGATGGGATAAAGCAATTGGTTGGTCTGGATCTAGATCTACTCACTGAGACTTTCAAAGGGATCAAGTCCTAGGTTCCCCCAGGGGGTTTCTTCACCTCACATAGCTCCGATTGCACAGCACTACAATAAACCAGCATCGGGTGACGATGCCCAGGAAGTGCATACAGACATACTGATGTGTAACAAAACAACACGTAGTGTCACTTGTCTTTAGATGGCGCAGCAGTGAACATGGTTAGCCGTTTAGAGGTGGGGATACTCAAACACAGAGTGGTTATGCAATTTGTCCAGTCAGTGGCAGACTGGGGAACAGAACCCAGGGTTCACAGTCTCATTCACAATCCTTTAGATCACAGATGACTTCTTATTGTTGAATGGGAAATAGGTGGATTTCAGGAACATCAGCCACATAAGACCTTCCGTGGAGTGTCTGATCAGTGCAACACAAAGCGTGCTGCATCGGGGAGCATGTCTAGTAAATAAAGCAATGAACCAAATGTCAGGACTTTGGGGTTCTATTTCTGGGTCTGCCAATCTATGCAGGCATGGACAACTCTTCCCACCCACCCTACTGCCTCAGTTTCTCCACTTACAAAGTTTAAACAAGAACAATTTCCTACCTCTTAGAAACTGCTTCGAGGACCAAAATTCAGAGTGCTACCAAACAGCATCGCATTTCCGTTAATGTCGTATCATTGGCCAACTTTCTCCACCTCGGGCTCGTAGGCTCAGCACCTACGTCCATATCTAAGCACCTAAATAAAAGTGGCAAGGTTGTTAGAGGCGTTGAGCACCGATGCCCTCTGCTCTGAAGGGATGGGCGTTCAGCGTCTTTGAAGAAGAGCTTACGCCTGTGTAAGGGTCAAACTATGGACATAACTGTCTTCCCTTTATCGTGGACTTCAGTGGGACTGAGATTAGTAACCAATCCTGAGCGGTACCTAATCTCACCTGCACTGCCTCCCGCCTTTCGCAACCAGCCTATCCATCATTTGACCCTCTAAAATCCAGGACTCTCTGGTCTGGTAACATCCGTGGCCCAGGACAACCATGGAGATTGCTGGACCAGAGATCCCTGGCCGCCCACTTTCAGAAGTGCAGCCCGAGCTGGGCTGGTGGTGAGGAGCACATCCCTAATGGGGCTGGCACATTGGGGAGCACAGCCCCAGCCCTGGAGTCAGTGGGGCTGGCAGGTATCCCTAGTGGGGCTGGAGTCAGTCGGCCCTGGCCAGGGTTGGAGGCAGCAGGGCCAGCCTTTGTCTGGAGCTGGCATGGTGTGGGACGCAGCCCCACCAGAGCTGGCAGGGTGGGGGGCTGGTGGTAGGGAGTGCAGCCCCAGCTGGGAGCAGAGCCCTATCCCTGGATAGGAAGCCTTGACCTCCCCTTGTTTGGAAAACTCTGAGGGAGCCGGACAAGGGAGGCTCGACCTGTATCAATCTTGCAAGACGTTCCGGCTCCCTGTGGCTTGTTTTTCGGTTGCAGCCCCTGCTGTACTGAATCAAGGAGGAAGACTGCCTGAATTAGCTAACCCTCAAAGATGACAAATGGTCCTGGGTGCAACCAATACTGTCCAGACCTTCAGAACTCAAGTCAAAAACAACATGACAAAGGTTAGAGTCATGACATCAGACGTCTGGGGATAATACACAGGGTTGTGATGCATGTCCGTGCGTTACGGCTCTGGCTCTGTTCTGAGTAATGAGTCCCTCTCTGCTCACTTCTCCTCATTACTCACACTCCAGAGGTTTTCTAGCATGCTTTGTAAGTGTCTCAGGTTTCACACTGATCACGCTACCGTTTCCTACCGCTGCTTTCCCAAGCATGAGCACTGGCTATAAAGGGAAGGCAGGCTTTTGAAATCCTCCATGAAGAATACAGGCCTGGAGGGGGTGACATGTTCACAGATGTGACTCACACAGGATCATCGATGGCTGGCAGAATTTCCCCAGGACTCAGCTCTGACTCCTCAAGTCTTTTCTACGCACAGACTTTGCATGGGCATCGCTTTCCTTCTTGTGGAGGAATGTTCTTATGTCTGCACCTAAAATATCCCCTCCGCCAATATGTCTTGGATTTTAAATCAATATCATGAATCATAATTAAAAAGTCTTTAAGATGCTGAACAGGCAGAGGCTGGTCCAGCTGGGACAGAATGCAGAAGCAGTATGTAAAAAAAGCACAGGGGCGGAATTTTATCTTGCGGATACTTAGCCTGCTAAAGCACTGAATAAAAACATTTTAAAGCCCAAAACCCCACTGATTTTCTACGTGATTTGGGTGCCTAAGTACCTAAATTGCTTTGGAAAATGGGATATGGGCTCCTAACTCACTTATACCCCTTGAATGTTTTCCCCAATCTCGGGACCAATATCTAGGTTTTTTAAAGAGAAGCGTTCATGACGCCTTAGACAGACAGAAAGGATTTTTTCCAAAACTTTCAACTTAATAAATGTTCCCTTGGAGTGTCTGCAACCCAGTGCAGCACTGAACCACAGGGATTCAAATGGAAGCAGCTGTTGGTGCTTGGTCATTCTGGAAATCAGGTTCCAAGTGTCTCTACTTGGGCACCCCAAAAGTCATCAACACTTTGGGAAGTGCTGACAATCTGAAGGACTGACAAAGACTAGTTAGAGTATTCCCTGCACCCCCATTTGTGTTTTCAGAGCTTGCTCTGTCCATATTAAAAGTACCCTGTTTGGGCTACTAACTTGGAAGATAGCCTCAGAGAACATAACCTCATCCCTTCAGTTATAGGAGCAGGCAGGGATTTCCTGGAGCACGCCCAACCCATGCTATATTTTACTGGAGCTTTGCTCTGGATGGCTGTGGCTGAATTTAAGACATGAACATAAAACATAAGAACAGCCATACTGGGTCAGACCAAAGGTCCATCTAGCCCAGTAGCCTGTTTGCCAACAGTAGCCAACACCAGCTACCCCAGAGGGGATGGACCAAAGACAATGATCAAGCGATTTGTCTCCTGCTATCCCTCTCTACCCTCTCCCATATGAGGAGAGGTTAAAGCGACTGGGACTTTTCAGTTTAGAAAAGAGGAGACTGAGGAGAGATATGATAGAGGTCTATAAAATCATGAGTGGTGTGGAGAGGGCCGATAAAGAAAAGTTATTTATTAGTTCCCTAAATAGAAGAACTAGAGGACACCAAATGAAATTAATGGGTAGCAGGTTTAAAACTAATAAAAGAAAGTTCTTCTTCACACAGCGTGTAGTCAACCTGTGGAACTCCTTGCCAGAGGAGGCGGTGAAGGCTAGGACTATAATAGAGTTTAAAGAGAAGCTAGATAATTTCATGGAGGTTAGGTCCATAAAAGGCTATTAGCCAGGGGATAAAATGATGTCCTTAGCCTCTGTCTGTCAGAGGCTGGAGAGGATGTCAGGAGACAAATCGCTTGATCATTGTCTTCGGTCCACCCTCTCTGGGGCATCTGGTGCTGGCCACTGTTGGCAGACAGGCTACTGGGCTAGATGGACCTTTGGTCTGACCCTGTATGGCCGTTATTATGTTCTTATGTTCTTATCCCATTATTCTTGGTTATAACTTCTCAGCCCCAGCCTATGATATTGCTCTACAGCCTTGGTGAGAACACGCAGGGCGTCCTTCCCTCTAGGTCACCTGCCTACCATGAAAACGTCAGGGAGCGGTAATTCAGTGCAAGCAAGGCAGCAATATCACCAGAACCCAGTTACTACAGAAGGGTCATGATGGGTCTCAAACTAATCAGCTGACCCAGCCACTCCTTTCTCAGAAGGACAGGATCAGAGGAACCCCTTGTAGGAGGTGGATGCAGCAGTGGGAAAGAGACGCATGAAAATCCACTACAAAAATGGTAAATTCTATCTCTTTTTCATCCCATCAGGCTTTCTTCCATCCCATCAGGCTATCAGCTATGGGACATGTTTACAACAACGGGCCTCTGTTAAAGCCAGCTAGGGTTCCAATATCATTATCTTCACCATAGCACACACAGGTCATGCTGCTAGCAATGGCCTACGTTAACTCAAGCCACTGCAGGGGCATACTTTACCGACCACATCGAAGTAACCATTGCTCCACTATGCAGCTTGTGATCCAGCAAGGTGCATTTCCTGCCAGCAATGCCCACTCATTTGTGGAGCTCATTCCACTGATTTCTGGTCACAATTCAGAGGGTTTTTTCACCAAGAGAAGGACAATCTCATGCAGTCCCTGCATGGAGCATTCCCCACTTTGTACGTTCCTTTTGCACATCTGTGGCAAATCCCATTGCTCAGGTCCCTCCCAAAAGCAGCTGTCATCTGGAGGTAGCAAGAATTCTCTTTCATGAAAAAGTTCAAGGTTTGGCCATTTGGTTCCATTCCAGTGTGAAACAAAATCACTGCTGCTTTGCAGACATTTTCTTGGGAAAGGAGCAAGACCAGTCAAAAATCCAGCAATTAAAGGGTATTAGAGACCCAGGTTCAAATCCCTGCTTTGCCTAATTTGGCAGAGCCGAGCCGGGAACCTGGGTTTCCCACAGGTCTGTTACCCATGGAAAGAGCAGTGCTCTGAATTCTCCATCAATCTGAAGAAGTGGGCTTTGCCCACAAAAGCTCCTGATACTACAGTAGACTTCCGATAATCTGGAACCTATGGGACCTAGGTAGTGCCAGATTATCAGATATGCCGGACTATCAGGTGGTACTATAAACTGGTTATATATATACTGTATACATTATATACTGTATATAAAGTGTTCTAAACCCTTTTTATTGTACATAGTGTATACAGTATACTGTAATGTTTTAGGTTTTTTAAGCCTTTTTTACCCTTTTTGCTCAGTTCAGCTGCTGCCGCTGTTACCTTGTGACTCATTTTTTGCCGAAGCTCACTCACTAGGCTCTTGCCATTTTGATGCCAGACTATCAGGAGTGCCGGACTATTGGATGCCAGACTATTGGAGTTTTACTGTGTATATATATATATTTTCTTAGCCTCTAAGGTGCCACAGGGCTACTCATTTATGAATCACTGTGATCTACCTGGTGGATGCCATGCTCACTTGCTCTCTTTCTAGTACCGATTTCCTGCACTGAATCAGGAGGATCCCTTCAGAAAAAACAATTCTCTGTAATCCACAGGTGAGGGAGTGGAGAATGTTGTGACTGACAGACCAGTGACAGCTCAAACCAAGTTCCCTAGGCCTCACTGAACATTGATCAATGCAGAGCTGGAAATCAGCCTGGCTCCCAAGTCTGTTAATATTGTTATACGACACGGTAGGTGATTAAGAACGTGTTTAATGTTTACACTTGAAATGCTTGTAGGATGCTGCCGTGGGCACTGATTTCACATGTAACATCTGCTCCCTGCGGTATGAACTGAAGTTAGATTGAGTGTTTGCATTGTAAATCTCTGTAACTGAGTAACTGGCCAAACAGGAAAGAAGCATTAATTAGTGTGGCGGGCTAGTCCTCCTCACAGCAAGCCACAGGGGCGATTGTGAAACCTCACAGGACAATGACTTTGTTGATTGCCCCGTCACACCCATGAAAAGGAGACAGGTGCTGACACTCAAATCAGTTTGAACTCTAAGGGAAGGGAATACAAACCCCTCCCCAGAAAGAACTCTTAACACCTGCTGCCTGGAATGTGGAGAGGGCAATATTTCTAAGCATAAAGCAAAAGCAAAGGACTCCCAGGCTGCCTGGCTTGGGTGAGCTCTAGCGAACAGAAAACTTGCATACTGCAGCAACTTCTCTTACCTTTTTGGACCTACAACTGTAAATCATCTGTGTGCGAGTTTACCTGCTTTCACCCTGTAAATACATTTATTTCTTTTTCTTACGCTGTGTCTATACTACCAAAAACTCAACTATGCAAGGTCGAGAATAGCGTTACACTTCGTGAAACCAGGAGTAACTAACATTGATTTCAGCAGCCCTTAATGTCAATGCAACAGGCTTGATAGTGTGGATGCATCATTTAGAAAACTGACTTTACGCTGCTAAATTTGATCTAAACTCCTAGGCTATGTCTACACTCGCGGCTTCTTGTGTGAGTAATATGCAAATGAGGCTAAGCATGGAATATCGCCAAGCCTCATTTGCGTACCTAATGAGCCACCATTTTTTTCAGAAGAGGCTCTTGCACAAGAAGGAGAGTCTACACTGCCCCCTCTTGTGCAAGAAAAACCCTCTTGCGCAACGCCGTTACACCTATTACTTTTCAGGAAGAACGGCATTGCGCAAGAGGGTTTTTCTTGCGCAAGAAGGGGCAGTGTAGACGCTCCTTCTTGTGCAAGAGCCTCTTCTGAAAAAAATGGTGGCTCATTGGGTATGCAAATGAGGCTCAGCAATATTCCATGCTTAGCCTCACTTGCATATTACTTGCGCAAGAAGCCACGAGTGTAAACATAGCCCTGGTGTAGATCAGGCCTAGGTTAATAAATCTGTAATCAGTTTATTACAGGATTGTCTACAAGTGCTGTCTATGGTGAGCGATCCAAGGTACAACTGACCTGAAGTATGTGACTGATCCTTGGAGACCGAATGGTGGTGTGATTTTTGGTGGATGCGATCGTCTACCACAAAGGCAAGCTTGCCCAGGTGGTAGGATGTATCAGAGTACCCAACTCTCCCATCTACTTCCCTTACTCCTCATAACCCAGTGGAGTACTAGAGTCAACAGAAGTGCAATCAGGGCTCAATTTAGAGCAGTCCTGGGCAAAATACGGCCGACCACCACTCAGAAAAGCATCTGTGCTGCTGTTTCTCTTTAAAAACTCTGAGCCCGGAGAGGAGGGGCGAAGGCTTCAGGCATAACTCTTGCCCTCAGCACAATCCCATTGGCTGGCTTCTGGCCAGAAACTGGCCAATGGAAGCTGCCTGCTTGATAACATGCTTGCAGTATTGTCCACCCATGTTAGTTCTGCTTGGGGCGAGAGGGGGAAGTGTGAGGCATCACGCAAAAGCACACATGGGCAGACAGGATGTCATGTGACAATGTGTGTGTATGTGGCCAGATGTCACTTGAATTTTCATACCCAAAGAACTGGCCTGACTTCAGGCCGACCAGGATCTGTGTTTCTGTCAAGGCCCTGTGTAGTGAAAAGGCTGCTCCTTCAGGAAAAGTCTCCCAAATTTAGAAACACTGAGTCCCTGCCCATCCGGGAAAATCACCACATTTCTCTGAGGGAGTGACACCAGGATAAATGTGAATTAGTACCCTGAGGAGCCTTATAAAACAGAAGGCCGCAAGGCTAGAAAGAAATGGGGGACCAGAGGGACCCTTCTTACTTACTTGTTCTTTCATTTCTGGGCCACTGTCCTCCTTGTTCCTCCATGGCCTGCTGGGGCGACGAAGGTCACACCAGACGGCGACTTGCAGCAGAAGTTGGAAACTACCTGGTTGTTGGGGTGCGGTGACCAACAGTAGCAGCCGGTGACAACATTCGGATACTTTCCGCAGTGGCTGGAAATCCCCATCCTCTGTTACCTCTGCCCAGGGAGAATGACAGCTATTCTTTGTCTAGCGCTGCCCTGGCATCCTAAGCGAAGTTTCAGAAGACTCTGGACTCTGCCAGAAAATCTAGTCTCATCCGTCATATCATCTGATGAAGTGGGTCTTACCCATGAAAGCTTATGATCCTCTATACACTTTTTGTAAGTCTCTAAGGTACCACAGGGCTCGTTTTTAAAGTTACAAACTAACATGGCTACCCCTTTTGAGACTTCTCATCGGTATGTTTGTGGCTCGCTCTTCTCTGAACGAATACACCAGAACCCAAAAGTGCAGCGGGCCAAACTGCTGTCAGTAAACACCAGGGGAACGGAGCTGAATTTTCCCAGACCCATGAGAAAAAGTGCATGGGGAGGAGAATCCAAGGAGCAAAGAGCTGCTTTTGAAAAGCTCAGCTCCTCGCCCTATTACAGACTACAGTTCAGGTTGGATTCAGATCCACAAAGGTATAGAACACTAGAACTGGAAGGGACCTCCAGAGGCCATCAAGTCCAGCCCCCTGCCCTCACAGCAGGACCAAGCATCATTTAGATCAGGGGTAGGGAATCTAAGACCTGAGGGAGGGATGCAGCCCCCAGCTTGCCCGAATCTGGCTCCCGAGGCTCAGGGCTCCTCCCAGCGCTGGTGCTCCAGCCCTCCTGCATTCCCCCTGTGGGACTGTAGCACATGGTCTACTAACCTCCCCCCACCCGTAGATCTGGTTTGCGTGGGGAGTCTTTCTCCTCCCCAGTGGGGGCCACATCAGTGACTTTTGGGTGGGCTTTATTTGGGGGTTTTGGGTGGGCTTTATTTGGGGGTTTTGGATGGGCTTTATTTGGGGTTTTTTGGGTGGGCTTTATTTGGGGGGTTTTGGGTGGGGCAGGAATTGAACCTAGATATCCCAGTCCAGTGCCCTACCATGATTTTTGGGTGGGCTTTATTTGGGGGTTTGGGTGGGGCTTTATTTGGGGTTTTTTGGGTGGGCTTTATTTGGGGGGTTTTGGATGGGCTTTATTTGGGGTTTTTTGGGTGGGGTTTATTTGGGGGTTTGGGTGGGCTTTTTTTGGGGGGTTTTGGGTGGGGTTT